AGCAGCAGCAGCTGTAGTTAATAATCTTCACAGTGACTGCCAAAATAAAACCTCCAGTTTTCTTCACCACATTGACTCGGATGTTTATAAATTGTGTGCGACTGAGCCGTGATGAGGGGAATTCAAACAGTAAGAGGAGCCTGGAGCGACCGAGGAGCCAAACATGGAGAAATCTGTAACGGGTTATCTCTACATTTATGTGAAGATCAAAACAGGAGCTGCTGACGGGGAATTCAGCTACTTTTCATTTGTCTAAATGTCAAAAATAATAAATCCAGGCTAAAATAAGATGATTGGGTTTGGATCTCCTGATCGTTGCCATTGTATTGGTTCCCAAACCGGTGCTCAGAGCGGCGTTTCCTTTAAATTGGGGGAAAATACCAGAACTACGCTCATGTGGCGGAGAGGAGAACACGGGGAGATGATGTCACCTGGAAGTTTTCCTGAGGAGGAGACGTTTAAAGTTTCTGGTCGGAGAAGCTGCTCCCACAGATCCCCTCTGACATGAGCGCCGCTGTTTCCATGGTGACTGCAGGACGGGTGGATGTACTGAGACTTGTGGGTGATCCTGACATACTGAGCGTTCGTGCAGCTCCACCCTGCCGTGATCTGTTTCAGGAACGCTGCAGTTTGTCTTTCTGTCCTCGTTAGATTGAAGGTCTCTGCAGAATCGTCCCGTCTCACCTTCTCGGCCAGTGAGAAATCTCCGCCTCCCTCAGGTTAAAATGACGGTTCAGGCCCCTCCCTCCTCCACCATCCTCTCTGGTGTCAAGTACAGAAAAACCCTTCTTTTCCCCGGAACGTTCCCACTTCCACTGCGCTGTTTGGATCATTCGCGCTTGCCGCTCGGGTTTGTTAGGATTTACGAGTGGCCCCGGGTCGAGTGGGGTGCTGGACTTCACGGCTCTTGGAAAAAGATTAGCACAAAACTTCAAACCACCGATGACAAGTGTGGGTGACTGTCAGCAAAGCAGGAAACATTTTATTTAGGATAATATTTAAGGGTTTTTTCTCTTCAATTTCTAATAAATAAATACAGTTTGTGACTTTTTTACGTCCACGTTAGATGTTTAAATCCACCCGAGTTCCCAAACAGTGCGGGAGTCACTCAAATGTCAAAAATGACTGTTTGATGTCGCTCACTCAGACGCTTCATGTGTTCGTGGTCCCTAAACGTTGGGAAACAACTCACATGTGGTGGAACTGAACTGCCCCTCCACTCTGCACTGCGGCGGCGTCTCGATGGACGCTGGATGAAACTTATTTTGTTTGACACAAACGGATGACCTGTAGCTAAAGGTGGTGATAAAAGCTGTGTGTGATGCTTCATATGAAAAATGAAAACTTAAAATATGCTGTTGTCTCACAGTGACTTTTCATGTAAGGCAGTGTCATTTGTTACAACTGTACTATTCTACTTTTTCATTAAAATATGAAAAGCTCCAGGCCCTGCTCTCTGTGATGCACTCACACCTGTGTAGCACTTTGTCTAGTCTCACACTCCACACCGCTGCTTTGGAAAAAGCCTAATGCCTGTCACAGTCACAAGCAGAAAAACATGAGTTTATTCTTCTCTCCTGAGCATGATCGAACACTTTCCACTTACTTATTTTAAAACATGAAAGCATTTCTCTCATTAGCTATGAACTACTGTTCCCTGTATCACTCCTGGATATTTGGGAATATGCTGGAAAATTGCCCCCCAAAATGTACTTTATTTCAAACAGAAAATTACAGAACAAAGATCTTGTACATATCCCAATAAGCAACAAAGCAGAGAAATAAAGGTGCATGAATGATATAAAGTATTGGCCACAAAGAATCGCCATTTTTAGTGAAACTCATGAATGTTGTAATTGCTTAGTGGAGAAGAAGAGAGAAAATTAAATATAAAATCCAATAAATATGTAAAAAAGTGCAGTTTACAGCAGGATAAAATTACCCCCGACTTTGTATTCCATAATAACGTGTCCAGCGTCATGACGTCCGCCACGGTTGCGTCATCACGTCTCCGCCCTCCAGAGGGAAAGCGCACATTCCTATTGTCCAAGATGGCGGCGCTGGTGCAGACCCTCCGACGCTGATATGTTTTTAACCGACTTTGTGCTCGTTTCTCGGCGTGTGTGCGGTCACCCAGCGGCCCGGGGAGAAGCGTGTGTTTGCCGTAGCTGCCGTCTGCAGCCTCAACGTCGCTAACAGGCCTGGACTTCGCTGCCCGGGCCCGGATTCCCATCGCAGGCTCCGAAAAGTTTGAGCTCCATCATCCTTTGAAAATGAAGCGGCAGGCCGGGAGAGAGGCGAGCCCGTCCAGGGCCGCCGCCAAGCGGATACGGGAGCGGGAGAGTGCGCGGAGAGAGGAGGTTCCACCGCCGCCCCCACCGCTGGCCCTGCTGCTGGCAGACAGCCGGGGATACCACCGCCGGAGCCGCAGCCGCGAGCGGGAGAAGCCGCGGCTCCGGGAGGAGCGGGCTACCGCCCTGGAGCTCCACCACCGGCACGAACTCAGCCTGCTCGGCCGGCCGCCCCTCCGCACCGCCGCGGCCGAGCTTCCAGCCTCCCGCCCGGGCACGCTGGAGTACAAGACGCTCCTCATCAGCAACCTGGGCTCGCAGGTGTCAGACGAGGACGTGGAGGACGCGCTGTTCCACGAGTTTAAGAAGTTCGGGGACGTCAGCGTGAAGCTGTCGCACACCCCCGAGCTGGGCCGGATCGCCTACGTCAATTTCCGACACCCGGAGGACGCCAAGGAGGCCCGGCACGCCAAGTCCTCCAGGTTAGTGCTGGGAGATCGGCAGCTTAAAATCGAACCCATGTACGTGAGGAGGCGGAGCGCCACGCCGCCCGACGTCGGGTATTTACCTGTGCACGCGCCCTACCCGTACCGTCAGCGCTCCCTGTCCCCTCCCGGGCCCGGCGTGAGCAACATCAGGGACCTCCGGGCCCGCCACTACGCCCTGGAGCAGCTGGGCCTGAGCCGGGAGAGGGAGAGGCTGCTGGATTATTACGGCATGCTGGATGAGCGGGGGCGGCCCTACGGCTTCCCCCCCATGCCCGTGGTGGAGGATTTAAAACCTGAGGACGACCAGAGGGCCACCAGCAACCTGTTCATTGGAAACCTGGACGGTAACGTCACAGAGGCCGAACTCAGGAGGGGCTTTGACAAGTATGGCATCATAGAGGATGTGGTGATTAAACGTCCTTCACGTGGGCAGGGCGGGGCTTATGCTTTTGTGAAGTTTCAAAATCTGGACATGGCGCACAGGGCCAAAGTAGCCATGCAGGGGCGCCTGATCGGAGGCAACCCCATAAAAATTGGCTATGGCAAAGCCAACCCCACCACCCGGCTGTGGGTGGGCGGGCTGGGGCCCGGGAACTCTCTGGCCGCCCTGGCTCGGGAGTTTGACCGTTTCGGAAGCATTAGGAACATAGACTATGTGAAGGGGGACAGCTTTGCTTACATTCAGTACGAGAGTCTGGACGCCGCTCAGGCCGCCTGCACACAGATGAGGGGCTTTCCTCTGGGGGGCCCCGAGCGCCGCCTCAGGGTGGACTTCGCCAAAGTGGAGGAGAGCCCCTCTCGTCCGTTTCCTCCTGGCTACCAGCCTCCCGTGGTGCTGCCCTCTCACTACGACCTGCTCGGGGAGGCATACAGCCGCCATCGCAGCCTGGAGCGGGAGCTGAGGGGGGCCAGGGACCGCCTCTCGCCGCCCTCTCACAGCCTCCTCTCCCTCCGGGAGCGAGAGAGGGCCCTGCTGGAGAGAGACTACCCCACCAGCCCCACACGAAGCCTGGAGAGGAGGACGGCAGGCGTGGAAGCGTTCGGGAGGAGCGGGCGAGGAGCCAGGAGCCGCAGCAGGAGTAGGGAGCGCTGGCTGAAGGAGCGGGAGGAGAGGAGGAGCCGGAGAAGAAGCCGGAGCAGGAGCGTGTCCGCTGAGAGGCAGACGGAGGAGCGGGAGAAGGAGAGGGTGAGGTCCAGGGTTCGCGGTCCACTGGGCACCGTCTCTCCTGATGCGAGCCCAGACCGAGCTCGGGTCAGAGCGCCGGACTCCACCACGGAGCCACGAGACCACTCCCCTGACAGCGGCGGAGGGGTGCGGCACTCCACCGCAGCCACCGCCGCCAGTGAAGAAGATCCCCCGTCCGGCCGCCACCACAGCAAGAGGTCCTCCAGCGACCACGTCAACAACAACAACAACCACCACCACCATCGAAACAGCGAGATCATCACCACCGGCTCCCCCGCTGCCATCCACACCAACACCACCTCCCCCCCGAGCACGCTGTCTGAGTTCGCCCAGACGGCGCTCTCCAAGACGTGGCACGGCTTCTTCGCCTTGAAGAACAGTAGTTTCCCCACCGACCTGTACCTGCTGGAGGGCGGGGCGGCGTTCTTCAGCGCCGTGATGAAGGACAGCCCGAAGCTGCAGAACCAGCCCAGCCAGCTAAAGATCGCCCAGCGGCTCCGCATGGACCAGACCCGGCTCGACGAGGTGTCGCGCCGCATCAAACTCGGCCGCCCGGACAACTTCGCCATCCTGCTGGCCCTCCAGGGCCCCGTCGACCGCCAGGCCCCCGCCCCCGAGCCGGGCCTGCAGGTGCGCTTGCTCCGTCACCTGGTGACGTACCTGCGGAACAAAGAAGCTGCTGGAGTCGTGAGCCTCCCCGCTGTAAAGGAGGGCGCGCCGGGGGCCATGCTGTACGCCTTTCCACCCGGCGAGTTCTCGCAGCAGTACCTGCAGGCCGCCAAGAGGACTGTGGGTAACCTGGACGAGGAGCACATGGTTATTGTGATCGTCAACGACACTAACTGACCCTGCAGAGGAATACTTCCATGTTGTTTGTAGACAGAAAAGCATTATTATTGTTTTACTCAGTATGTTATGAATGAAACACGGCGAGCTACACTACGTCTGCGGCGCCCTCGGGGGCTCGTGGGAAATGCATTTTAAAATTATTCTAAAACACTTAAATGAGGCTAAAACGCTGCACGCAGGCAGCGCTTGGTCCCGGCAGGAAGTAGAGTTTATTGTGGAAGTCGTATCGTGAGAAATGACTGTTACACGTGTCCGTGCGATTATAAACACGCCGCCGCCACCTTAGCCACGGGGAAACTTGACTCAGCCGACTGCCAGACAGAATAAAGCAGGAAAAATATTAGAATAAATATTCACTTCTAATAAGACATAATTATGAAGCAGTGAACCAAAACGATCTTAAAGGTCACGACTAAAAAAAGTCAGAAATTGGATGTTTGACTTGTTGAACACATAAAACCAAAGTTTAATATTAAAGTCATAAAGTTTAAAAAGTCAAACTTTGCTGTAAAACCACAGCATAACAATTATCTTTAAAAAGTTTGATCATTATTTCTATAAATTATTATGGTTTATGTGTCATAAAGTAGGATGTTTAAAAAAAAAAGTGAAGTGAAATTTTAGATTTGGAAAGTAATGTTTTTAAAATCTGTGCGTCACTTTGATATTTAAGATTAAAAGTACATTTCTGTCCTTATCTTGAATGTGATAAAGGCCACGCCCCCCTCAGGAGCTCAGATATCGGCTGACCCCGCCCTCATCCTCTGATCACTTCAGTATTGCTTAAATGATGAGAAAATACAGTACAAACAGGAAACAGACAAAGGTCCCCTTCAAAACAAAAGCTGCGCTTTTTCAAACGTGTGATTTAAGAAGAGCAGAAGCTCAGAGATAAAATATTAAAAACAAGAACAAAAAAACCCTTTTTTCATGATTATCTGGAGTCACGATAACGGAACAAGCTGACGTTGAATCGTCAGAGTCTAAAAGTTTGAAATGTATGGATTTTATATATAGTAGTAAAATGTAAAATCTGATGTTTCTCTCCAAACTTTTACATCTGATTGACTAAACTGACGCCTCATCTAATTTAATTCAAACATTTTATTTTTATCAAAACTGTATTTTACTCGTTTTTGACTTTTAATATCAGAAGATTTGCCTTGAGATTTTTTTGTTTTTTGTTTTGTTTTGTTTTTGTTTTTATTGTTTGTTATTGATGAGGATTTATTTTAATAATCACTGAGGCTTTTTCTGCTTCGTGCTCTTCTTTGAACTGCTCAGTTTTCACATCGCCAGCTGTTGAGCACATCTGCACAAGTAGGACGCTGAGAGCAGGAAGTACCCTCAGACTAAACTGTCATTTCTCACGATACGAGTACACACACTCCTCGCTCAGAGCGGCACTTTTTCTATTCTAAGCTGTTACACACAACACTAAACCCCGACAGGAGTCTTCGTGCGCTCTCTGAACTGTACCGAGCTGCCCCGAATGTCCGAGCCGAGCAGCACCGGGTGGTTTTATTCAGAGTACTGTAAACCGAGGGGAAAGTGGCACTTTGTCTCCCCCTGTTGGCTTCTTCTGGGACTTTTTTTGGTTAAGTGAGGCCGGTGGATTCCCAACCCTCCGTCCCCACCGCTGTAAAGTTCATGTTAGTTAGTGTTTTTATCAATTTAAAATCATTCCAGGTGTTTTGTTTGGAAGCTGTACGAGTGTGTTCGATGTTGCATGCAGGAAAAAAAGTTTGGTTTTGTCAGTCAACAAAACAAAAAGAAACGCCAGCTTCTCCAGGAAGCTGCTGATGTTTGATCATATTACTGGTTTTATATTGTACACATTTATACCTTTTATTGGATTTTAATACATCGGTCCATCTGTTATCCACACCTGCTTCTTTGTTTTTATGTTTTCTCCCTTAAATTGTCATTTTTCTGGTCAATTTTCGTCAAATAAAACCTTTTAACCAATGATTCAAGGGCTGATTTTAAGACCATTCAGATGTAATGAGTAAAACAGTTTGACACTAAATTATGTGGGAGGTAAAAATGTGGCAGAATAAATAATGAAGCCAATAAATAACAGTAATTAGAATAAACAGTTTTAGTTTAATGAAAAAGTAAAGAAGCTTTGAGTTGAGCTGAACTGAGTTTCTTATGCAGCTCGATGGTGTGAGAGCGACTCGTGTTTATGCTTTAATGATGATGAAGAAAAGTGCACAAATATAAGGAAGCCTGTTAATGCCAGTAAGACAAAAAATTAGGATGAAGATTAGCCGTGATTTTTTTTTGTTTGTTTGTTTATTTACTTGTTTTCAGTCATGTCCAAAGCTATAATGAAAACGTTAAAGAGTGAAATTAACTTTGGCTTTTTGACCCAACACATGAGTTTTATTTTTAAATAATTAATTGATTCGGTGTTTTGTTTTAATGCTGGTATTTTCTCTCATTTTAATTAAAAAAAAAAAATCAAAGTGGAAACTGAAAAAATTATATTTTTTTCAGTTTCCACTTCTTTGACTTTTGTTCATGATTTTTATATATCACGGCAAAAAAAATCATGGCAATAACTGTTTTGTTTTTGTTTTTTAAAATTTTGACGTAAAACTAAATTGTAATTAAGTCACAAGTCTGACTTTCTCAACTAAAAGATAAAATATCTTTCTTGTAAATAAAATAAATTTGTATATATTTAATAATGACGGTTAGCCTCCAGCCCATGCAGTGCTGAACTGGAAGAAAATGAATTGACAGCTTATATTTTCTGTTTTAGTTTGTCTTTCCTTGACATTCATGGGCTTCTGTACTTTTAGTCTTTCCAAGCATTAATTAAAAAATTATGGTGGGAACATTTCAAACTGACGAGGATGCATCTTTGAATATTATTTGAACAGTTCCTTTAAAAAACAGCTTGAAAACTGTAACATATGAATAAACAAATATAAATCAATCAATGGAAAGAATTGATCAGATTTCACTTGTTTGAGTTTCCCTTAAAGGTTTGTGATGTGAGTGAAGATGCCCCCCCCCTCCCCTCCCCTTTCTTTAAATCAAACAAAACTGATGTCATACATTTGTGCTGCTATCAGTTTAAAGATATTAGTAAGTTTCTAGAGGTCATCCAAGGTCAAGGTGCTGAAATAGCTATTATTTATTTTTATTTTTATTTTGAAAAAATAGTTTTAAACTTGAGAGGCTTGACAGTTCGTGCATTTAGCTTTGCTAACAGGAAACATGCTTACGTTGTTCTGATAGTTTTGTTTGTTGCAAATAAAGTTTTGTTCTCTGACAGAAAACATAATTTAACTATTATAAGTTAACTTAGTTTTTTACTTTTACAGAGTGATGATGATAAAAAATATCCAGTATTGGTTTATGTTTCACAACCTTTTTCACAGTGAAGATGTGGCCTGAATGACCTCTGGAAGCTTTTATTAAACGTAGTACAAACGTTTGACATCAGGTTTATTTGATTTGAAGAAGGTGGGTTTGTCGCTCTGTGCCGTGAAGACGGCTCCTGGTAATCTGGACATTACGACGTCCAAGTTAATATTTTCCACAGAGAATTTTTCCTCCCAGAATAAATGGCTGTGATGCAGTACGTCCAGCACATTTACGAAGAATTTCACTTTATAATTATCATGGTTAAAATATAACGCGTGATTATTATGATCAAATTAGTGGCAATACTTTGTTCAGTGTTTGTCGCCCTTTTTGGAAATGAACTGAAAATAATGAACAAACGAACACGTTAAACACATTATTGATGTGATATTGAAATTTGATGTTCAGATGTGACTCATCAATGTGACAGCCTTAAATAAATCAAATGCATGTCAGCATATTAGAGCCATCATTACCCGTTTATGTTTCAGTCCTAAATCAAAAGTTTATGTTAAAACTCATTTTAATAATTATTCCTGTCATCATATTATCTTCAGATTTTTTTTACAGTATTAATAAGAAAAACAGGAAATGGCAAAAATCACATTTCAGCACTCGGTGAGGTGTTATTAATATTAATATTAATATTAATATTAAAAGAAGTCTTTAATGTTATGGTTTATTTTCCTTTTTAGTCCCTTTTAGAGTATTTACACATGTAACCCAGCTGTTGGTTCGTCAGTGCACCTCTTTAGAAAAATCGGCTGGGTATGGAAGCCTATTTATGCCAAAAAGAGAAAAGTTTTTGAATCCTATACAGTGGGTGAAATATTGATTTGATCATCTGGTGACTTTGTAACTTTAGAAACAAACATTCTCTCGTTTTTATGGGAGTTTTATTTTAATGGAGACGTTACATAAGAGTTATAAACTGATTTCTGTACGACTGAGTGAATTAAGTGTTTGATCCTTTAAAACCAGTCAGAATTGTTCCTCCATGACCTTGTGACAGCCTCCTGATCTTAACTCCAAGCTCTCTGCCACCGTGAGCAAAACCACCGAGCTGTGGAAGGACGTCAGGGACGAGTCATGAAGCAAAGACCTGCACGAGGCTGGGATGGAGAACAGGACCGTCGGCGAGAAGCCCGATGAGAAGGTGGCAACTGTTGGTGTGATTGTTCAGAAATGGAGAAATGTGAACGCCCATCGATCGTCTCGGCCTGGAGCTACATTCAAAGATGGCCATGAGAAAGGTGGCGTATCAGCCCAAAACTACGTGGCAGGAGCTCGTTAATGATTCAAAGGCATGTTTGACCACAGTCACCGAGAAGACGAGCGGTAACACGCCACGCCATGATGCAGGGCTCCTGCTCAGGAAGGCCCATCCGACATTTTTAAGACGTTTATCAGAAAGTTGAGTTACTGTTAGTAGAACTGAAATCTGTGATGCTGTTCTTGCTCGTCTTCCCAGTAGGAATTTTTCAAACACCCACACGTTTGTTCGGCAGCCAGAGATTATAATAGATTCTAATAAATCACCTAAAATTCTCCCCAATGAGAGAAAAATGAGCAGAAGCATCTGCACTGAAACTCAAATATCACAAAGCAGCTGCTGAGACGAGCGTTTTAAATACGTTAGGGAGGAAAGAGAGCAGGTCAGGCTGGAGTTTAGCTTCCTTTTGTGCTCCGTGTTTTTACTGACCCAGGAATTCTCACTTAGTCAAACAGGTTTTCTCAGGTCACTGTTTCACCTGAGTGAAAGAAGAGCAATATCTGAACACAAGGAGGCAGCACGAGCACAGAAAAGGCCGAGGAGGGCTGGACTCAGACACTCTGATCCTTCCCCGACATCCGAGGCGTCCGCAGGGATTTGTCTGAGCCCGGACTCTGAACACGGGGGCAGGCAGGAAGCTGCTGGTGCAAACACGCCTCAAACATCCCCAGTGCTGAAAAACTAGAAATGTTCGTGGTGCGTTAGCCCGAAGCATCGGGGTGGATGTCAGTGGAGACTCAGGGAACAGATCCTGTTACCCTGCAGTAAAAACATGAACGTTGTCAGGACACGTTCCTGATTTTCCTGTTTATCACAGATCAGTGTGATTATTTTCATTTAGTTTGATATTAACGGGAAAAACAGTGAAAGGAGAAAAATGTGATGTTTGGGTCGCTGTTTGCTGCTAAAATAAACTGAAGATGTGCGGCCAGGCGACCAGATCAGCGGCGCCAGTTTGGCTGAATTAGCCGGCCTCGTCCACTTAAGACGGGATTTTGCTGCGAGACGCAGCCTGCAGGCCGCTGGTGTTAGAGACCGCGCCAGTGTTTGTTAATACGAGCCAGAAAAATGAGCTCGAGCTCAGGTTTGATCCCAGAAACCAACCCCGAGGAATCCTCCCCATCTTTCCTCTTTCCTTCTACTACTTTTCTGCTCCACCCTCTCTCGCTCTCAGGTGTGCCAGGTGGAGTCATCGATGTCTCTCCTGTCCCAACATAAAGGAGGATGGGAATGGTCTCACTGGCTTCCAGCCTCCCTGCATGCCCAGATCCCTGCGTCTTTGCGGGGATTTATTGTCTCGCCTTTTGTGCTGGAAGTCGGATTTGTTCTGTTTTCATATCTCATTAGTTTAGAGAGAGACGCTCTGGGTCCTACAGCCCATCATGTTGGTGGCACTCCCCAAACCGTGAGGGCAGCTTTCATGGTTGTGTTTGGGGACTCTGAGAGGACGAGCCCGATACGTGTCATCGCCATGAAGAGCGGCTCCGCTTACATCATCGTCTCGGGATTTTCTTTACTGGCACAAGAAAGAAAGTGCAGTGTTGGGCAAGTTACTTTGAAAAAGTAATTAGTTATAGTTACTAGGTACTTTTTTAAAAAAGTAACTGAGTCACAGTATTATAAAAGTAACTAATTACTAGGAAAAGTAACTATTGCTTTACTTTAAAAAAGTGTTTAACCTTCTGGGGTCCAGGGTGTGTCTGAAGCTGATCGTTTCTTCTTCTGTGGTTTTTGACCTCACGTGTCTGAAGATCGTTTCTTCTTCTGTGGTTTTTGACCTCACGCGTCTGAAGCTGATCGTTTCTTCTTCTGTGGTTTTTGACCTCACGCGTCTGAAGCTGATCGTTTCTTCTTCTGTGGTT